GATTCACTTAGACTACTTTGGGTCTGCATGTTTAGTGTTCGATTGGTTTGGTTGTAAAACATTGATGTAACCTTACTATATACGAAGTACATTATTTGATGCTCTTTTTTGCCTGCATGGGTTTGGTTGTTAAATGTAGGAGGTTGTACAATGTTACACTAACAATGTTGTACAATGTCCTAGAATGTACTCCCAAATATTCCTGAATTAGTATGCCTTTTTTGTTTTTGTGGCAAACACTTTCTCTTTATGGTGTTAATATATAAGGAGGATGCCTTTGTCTATGAAGAAGAAAAACCTTGTATGTGTTGTAATACGACTTTGTCTGTGATTTGTGTCGTAGTTGTTTGTGCTATGTATCTGCTCTTGCATCCACTTAAGATATTTTCATAACTACTTTATGTAATTTAACAACTAAAACATTTATTGTTTTGATTACCACTGGAGCCCATGTGTAATTTTGAGGTGATCAATAAGGTTACAGATTATTAGTTTAATTTTAAAAACTTGACTTGTTTATTTAAATAACTAGTTGTTTAAAAACTACAAGTATATGTAATCCATCGCATAGTTAGTTAAATACGGTACGGGGATTAAACGAGGCTTAATACGTACGCACTTTATTCGGTAACATTAATGAAAAATGATCAAAATTTCGTTTAAAAAAACGTTGACCTTCAAAAAACGTGTAAATACATATACGTGTTGACAAGACATTAATATGTCCCAGAAACACATTTTGTGTCCGTAAAGACCCAAGACTTTGTTTGTGTCGCTTAATACATAAATGTTTGTGAAAATATATGCATGCACATTTACATCAAACTAAGATTTAAATCTAAAGCACTACAATTAATCATGTCATTAGGATCCCCTGTCCATTGTCATGCCCTGCGGCCGTTTGTGGGATACTTTCATTGTCATTCCTAGCCCTTGATTTCTTCTTCCCCTTCTCCAATGGTCCTTTTTGACGGTTTTTCCTCGGTGCACTCTTGCGCTTTGCACACTTAGGATCTCCAATGATTTTTTAAACACTCCAACTAAATCTACTCCAATTTTGTGTTTGGTGGTACTCCTAGTTCTTACGGGAAATCCTAAACGCTTCCCATATGCCTTGTAAAAATCACACACCGCTTCTTTGCTATCAAATTCATACCAACATTCGGAGCTTTTATAGAACCAACGTCACTCTCATTTTGATGCATTTCTCCATCTGCCCAACATTCATGTATTTCAACGAATAAAGAATGTCCGGATGACAACATGCACACACAGAGGTATATTTACACACACAGGTAGTGATATACTTACGCACAGACAGAAGTATATATACACACGGGCAGAACTATATTTAGTTATTTACACAAAGACATAAGTAAATTTAAAACACTTTAAACACAGACACGATTATATACACATCACAAACACACAACCAATATTATACACTTCACACAAACACTACACAAATACAGAGGATTGTCTGTGAAGAAAAAACATATATTTACGCTCAAAGCCAAAGTAATCAAATACATAAATGATCAAATATCAACACAAACTCATACCAAGCTCAGGGACGTCGTCCATGGCTGCCGCCGCCGCTTCTCCGTCAACTCTAGCCGCCACCGAAATATCTCATTCAACTCGAGAAGCATCGGTCATTTGATCCCATTCAACCCAAAAGTCGTCTGTTGTAGTATCAATGATCGTTCCATTCACAAAGCCATCAAAATCCACTTATTTTGAAGAGAGGAGTGCTATGCGTCGAGGTGTTGCGGGAAGAAGAAAGAAACGAAGAAGGGGGAAGGGAGGAGAGAGGCTGGGGTTGCAATCTCACATGAGGGAGGGGTGTAAAAAATGGTAACTTTTTAGGTTACTTATAATGTGTATGTGTGTGTATGAAAAGTGTGTACCCAAAGCCTAATTGTAAACCTTGCTAAGCAGCTTACCTACTCACCATTTTGTTCCAAGATCTAGAGTGAATTGAACCGCAAAGTACTTGATGATTTTCACGACTTGATGACTCATTTTGCATGTTGTATAATTTTTGCATTCTAAATGTAAAAGGGTCATGCTATGGTGCCTTTGAAAATTTGGAAGGTATGGTGCATCTCATTGTGTGGACAAATGAAATAGTGACACATGGAAATAGTGGCACATGAAATAGCGTCATTAATGAATTGATTTGGAATGTTATTGGGTGAGAAAGGCAAATGTATGGTACACTCCAAATTTGAAGAGGTACCATAGAATCCTCCTAAAACATATTACACAAAAATAAATTTGGTAATAATTTCAGTTGAAGAAAAAAATAAAAAATAGTACTTCCTCCGTTCTTAAATAAATGCAACGGTCAACATTTCACACTTGCCGAGACACAACTTTGACCATTAATATAAATGATTTTGTATTAGTAAAAAAATTAAAAAAAATAGATTATGAAAATTTACAATGAGACAAGTTTAACAATATTTTTTCATAAAATAATATTATTACATTAATAAATAAAACGTAGTCAAAGTAGAACATGCGAATAGTGTAAAAGTCAAAATGTTGCATTTATTTAAGAACGGAGGTAGTATATGATTATGAAATACAATACACTACGGGTACTTATTTGGGCTTTTTCCTTCAATATTATCAAATTAAAGTTGATTTCCATAAATGTGACCATTTTTTAAAAGGACAAAAATGTAACTAAGAATGTCACATATTTGGAAAACATTATGTCACTGTATTTTTATGTACAGATTTTTATGTAACTATTCAATTTTAATGTCACTATTTTAGCATCCCTCAAAAAAATTGGCCCGGCCTGGGCCCGAACTGGCCGGGCCGGTTCACCTTTTGAAGGGCCCGAGCCCGAACCGAGATCCCACTGGGCCGGGTGGCCCGAACCGGCCAACCAACCGGTTCACCGGGCCGGTCCGGGACCGCACAGTAGCGGGCCGGTCCGGTTCCGGGCCGGTTGGCCCGGCCCGAGTCCACCCCTACCGCATGTGTCACTGTACCACCGCCCGTGTCACTGCTGCCACCGCCCGCGTCACTGCTGCCACCGCCCGTGTCACTACCGCCACTGCACGTGTCACAACCGCCACTGCTCGTGTCAGTGATGCCTTGAGAACATGTCACTGCGATAGTTGGAAAATCTTGTGTGACTTTTTCCGGCAAATTTGTCCCCCAACACCGCCACCCGCCACACTCTCGGCACCCCTTGCTCCCCGTACACCACCCACTAACCCTGCTCCTCCCCATCCCCACGCCCCAACCCCTAGCACCCTGTCCCCCCAGCCCCCCTGACCAGCCCCCAAATCCCCTGTTGCCACCGCTGACAGCCGCCTCCTGCCCATCTCCGCCACCGTTCTGGCTGATAACCGCCGCGCCGCCTGCAACCGCCGCCCCATTCCATCTTCAGCCACTACCACCACAGTGACATCATCAGCCACCTAGCCCTAGCCACACCTCTCCATCCCTACCCCTCGCTAGCCCACACCCCAGCACCCCAACCCATGTTCACAGCCTCCAACCAAACCAGATCTAGCCCAAATCGAACCCAAATACAACCGCTACACCACACTCCGTCCTCAGCATACTTACAATGGCGGCAGCAGTGCAGCAAGACAAAATTGCCGCTTCATTGAGGCCCCAATCACTGTCCTAGCCACTTGTGGTTTGTTCAAAGCACCGTTGCATCGATGCCCCAGCCACACGCTGCAAAATCCATGTACACATTCGCACAGAAGAAGTAGAAGAAGAGAGGTTAAGGTTGAAGGCGGCTTTGGTGATGAAGTCGGCGGCGAATCGGCGAGGTGCGGCGTGGCAGCGAGGCAAGATGTGGCAGAGAGGTGCAGCGTGGCAGCGCGGCAAGGCAATAGAGACGGAGAGCTCGATGGGCAGGTTGGCGCAACAATGGAGGAGAGCTCGATCCGTGAAGGGGAATAGAAGAGAGAAGCGCAGAGGGTTGGGGGAATCGATGGATTGGGAGAGAGATAAGGTCACTTTTGTGTCCAGCTTAAAAATAGTCATATTTTTGTCTTCCCAAACTCTCTAAGTAATACTTTTGTCATTTTTTCTAGTTATTTTATGTGGATTAATAAAATTTTGTACTCCGTAGTAAACTGGTAAAGAAAAAATTTAAGTCAATTTTAATTTAATTAATTAAAGATAAAGATAAGTAAAATCATAATTATTTTTTAGTATTTTGATGGAGAGAAGAAAAGAATTGAAAAAAGTAAAAAAGAAAAATACAGAGAAAGAAACCTCGAGGTGTTGAGTATGTGACAAGGGAGAAAAGGTCTGTAATGCTCTCAAAAGAAAGAAACGCTACCGTATTTGTTATCAGTATACCATAAACATGGTATACCGATACCACAATATAATTTGTGGTTGTCTTCAGTCTTTTATTAGAAGGGTGGAGTATTTCTGTCTCTGACTCAGGCAAGCCCAGCCCAGCCCAGATGCAACTGGTGCAAGTGCACAAGGCCCCCAATTTTAGGAGGCCTCCATTTTTATTAGGATAATATATAGTAAGCCCATTCGAAAAGAATTATTCCAGCCCATATCTATTAGACTATCTCTTTGTGTGCCTCACATTCTTTTCACGCTGAAAGTCAACGATAATTTATACGCCTCCTTCATTGGAACTCAGAAGATTTGAATAGACAAAGAGAGAATAGAAGCGGCGAATTATCGACAATTTCCGAAATGACTAAGGAACGATTCAAGGAGACTAAGGAATTCGTATGAAATTTAATTTTTTGTTATCTAAACTAGGATTTTAAGTTAAACACATAGTATCCAACCAATGAACAAACTGCCTTACACTTCATTCCAATATTCTGGTGTCTTCTTCAGAGCTTAGGTGTAATGACCACTCCCAAACAGCCATTACGATACTCAAACCCAAAAGAGACTCAATACACAAAGTGGAAATAAAGATACAAAGTCTCGACATGAAACTTTATTTTCTTATAAAGGTAACCAAACCTCACAACGAAAACAGCAAGTAACCAAAAGAAACTGTCCTTAAACAAAACGATTACACCTGATCGGGATTTCAAAAGAAAAACATTTAACAACCCGTAGAAGTACTAAAGCACACCTAATAGGGTGCAAGCCTAAAACAAAATGAAAGGGAGGCGTTGGTAGGACCAACACCTCCAACATTCTCCATCTTATTGATCTCAAATGGTGTAGAGTAACAATACAAGGTTATGAGGAGACTCATCATCGCTTGTTCACCCGGAAGTTAAAAGATAAAACGGGCAAACAATTTAGTAAGCAAACCACAGTTATCTACAATCAAATTTTAGCACGCGTTTACAGGACAAGTGTTTCTCGGCAGAAAGACACTTGGTAGTTGGTAACCATATTCGCGGGATTAAACTCGGATGGTATCTTGCACAACGTGACTCCACCTGCATCCACAATATCACGAATAACATGGAACCTAACATCAATATGTTTGATCCTCTCAAGAAATACAGGGTTTTTGCAAAGTTGGGTAGCCGAGAAAGCAGTAACTCCATGTTTGAGAAACCCAATCTCGGAGACAAGAAGTTTTAGCCGAATAGCTTCCTTAAACGTAACGCTTCTGTGGCTACAACATACTCAGATTCAATGGTAGATAATGCAACAATGAGTTGTGATTGAGATTTCCAACTAATGCAAGAATCACACAAAGTAAACACATAGGAAGTAGTAGCGATCATTCTTGTATTTTATTTAATAAATACAAACTAAAGACAATATATATATAATTATTACAATGCACGGAAGGCGAAATGAAAATAGTTCCAAACTCAATACTAGTAATTTTAACGTATCAACTATAACGTAACATTCTTGTATTTTATTTTCTCAGTAGTAAGTATGTAACAACTAACAATTCCTGATCTCAAAATTGGCTCAAGGATGTAAGGGAATGAGCTACGTACATGATGAAAGGTTGTTCAATATAATGAACCCCAAGCTGTTTGAATATCACAGGAAACAAAATTCCTTTTCTGCTTAGCTTTTATCCCTTCCCGATATTGATGGGCTGCATTTTCAGTATATAAATGGAATAAATGGTCAGTAGAGAAAGAAGTTGGTACAGTTAAAGCCGCAGTTTCAAAGGATTTGTTAAATTAAGCTAGCTTTACATTCATCACGCTGGATTTCAACTTCAGTTTTCCTCCATTTTCTTCCCCATTAGGAAAGAAACCAATCCGGTTATGATTAGCACCATCCCAATCAAGCTGCAATGACATATGTTTATCAAGATGTAATACTATTAAGAGTTGGGATTATTACATCTTAAAATGTTTTTCTTTTAGGATGAAACACTAACACTTTAATACTTTCTCCGTTTCATAAAAGTTGCAACATTGGAATTTCTGCACTATTCACACAACTTACTTTGACTACGATTTTCTAATAATATATATAATAAAAATATTATGTATAAAATATTACTCCCTCCGTCCCCCTGTTATTGTCCCATTTCCTATTCACTTGATCAACACAAATCACTCTTAATCTCTTACTTTATGAATCAAATTTTTATCAAATTTGATTCTGGTTTTTGCGACTTTGTAAATCTTTTAATGTAGTTTCTGAATATGCAATTTTTTTTAAAAAACGATTTGAGTGCAGACAGGGATCTGTTTGCTTTATTGTCAGTCAAACATCGTAAACCGCAATGAGACAATAACAGGGGACGAAGGGAGTAATAAATTTGTATTAGTGTAAATTTCCAATATATTAACTTTTTTTAATGTTAACTAATACCTAAATAAATATAATTACAATCAAAGTTGCGTGTTGGCAAACGTGAAAGTCAAACTCAACTTTTGTGGAACATATAAAATCATATCAAAACAATTAAGTCTCGTTGTGATTTGACTTTTTAACGTACAGTACTTGGAACATATTAGTGTAGTCAAATCCGTTTAGAATTGCTCTGGAGTATTTATCTCCCGATTTGGTTAGAAAAGACGGGTTATTATATAGTAAATCAATATATAAGATCACAAATTACTTTTCAATCAAATCTGAATAAATACTCTCTGTCTTAAACACTTTACTCATTTTTATTTGGCATGCTTTACTAAGAAAACGTAAAAGAATTGTATGTTTGTAGCTGATAAAAAAGAAATTAGAGAAAAAATATCAACCACACAAATCACTTCTCAATTGAAATGAGGAGAATTTTGGAGTTCCCACCTGATAATGAAATGGGACGAAAATTTCCACAATGAGGTTGTATATGAAATTACTACGTATTATAATCACATTATATAAATATCAACCACACAAATCAATTCGCTAGAAATTACTATTATAATCACATTATATAAAAGGTCACATTTGTGTCCATTTTTATTTTATTCATAAATATGCCATCATTTCCTTATATATACGGAGTAGTTGATATAGAGGAAATTCTTCATCAAAGATAAAAAGTAATTGAAACTAAAATTTGCATTTATTAATATAACCTTCCGAGGTAGATAGGTGCACCGAAGAAAAAAGCTTCTATCATGGCTACCGATATCAAGGACAATGGATTGAACATTGACGGGAAAGTCGGTCCCATTTTACTCATTGCCCACCACATTAGGCAAAATGTTGCTGCTGTAGCCAATACACCCTGAAAAGGAGATTCATTCATATATATTGAGTTGAGTTGTGCCAGGTGCACACATTTTGGTGTACACCCTTCATACACTCGTCTGTCTCACGCACACCGCATTGTCTGTTCACAGACAATTCTACAGATCTGTGGACAGACAATGTTGTATGCGTGAGACAGACGAGTATACGAAAAGTGTACACCAAAATGTGTACAGCAAACATTTTTCTATTGAGTTTTAGCATCCCTCAAATAATAGACAAAAGCCGCGTCGGAAATTACCGTAAATAGAAAAAAGTGTGATATTCCTCAATAAGAATATACTTAGGTTTTCTTTTAAGTATGAGTCATTACACATATCTTTGAAAAATCCAATTAGTTCTCACATAAATATGGTCATATAAATGATATAATGTCAAGTAGTGTTGATATTATATAGAGTCGCATGCTTAAAAATATGACATTGTGATTTAAGAATGGCAACTGTTATTTATTAATTTATACTTAAATGAAAAACTTCTATTTTGACGGGGAAATGCATAGTATTTCTATTTTAAGATTTCACATTATTTTTACTCCTATACTGGTAAATTTCCCAAGCTGAAAAAGAATAAGAAAATATTCACTTACAGAATAAAAAATAGTAATAAGTTGCAAATTGAATCCCAATTTCCACGAGGTCGTTCTTCTATCAATGTATAAACCTATTACCATGCATTGAAGTGTTGCCAATATGCATGATATTGTGGTTGCAGAATATTTGTATGGGAACCTGTTCTCCTTCAGCAACCAGGCCTTTGCAATAGAAATATTATAAACAAGGTTGATTACACTTGCAACATCAATGTTGTTTTTCTGGACTAAAATGTTTGTTTGTATTGAGATAATCTCCAAGCGTGATTAAATTAGAAAATAAATGGCCATTAGTGGTAAATAATAAACGGAATTAAGTAACTAAATAATCAATTTGAAAGTATTATGTTACTGCCTAATCAATCACTAATCTATGAATCCATCTTATTGACACGTGTTTATTCCATCATGAATGATTCTCCCTTCTCCTATTCTAGTTGAAAATCAGTCTGTTTGTATCGAATTTTTTAGGATTAAGAACACATTGAAACCTTTTGAACAAGTTCCCCAGAGACGGCTTCAGTATTGAGATAAATCCAACAAGAAACAATAATAAATGTAAAAACTGTAGAAATAAATGTATGAACGACTTATCTTAACGTGGAAACCTGAAAGCCTGAAAATCACAGGACTTTTCGGGCTAATGCCCAAACCGCTCTCATTTTCATTACACTCTCCTCAGTCCTCACCATTAATAATGTACAAGTATTGAGCTCCCATTAATGGAGTCTAAAGCTTTTTAGAAAGAAGGTGAAGAAGAAGTGGAGGAAGAAGAGGATCCCAAAAATGGCGGGGAAGGCTTCCTATTTATAGAAAATAGTAGAGGGGGTACAAGGGTGCCCTAATGGGCCCAAGGGGCAGGAATGAGCCAAATGGACTGAAATGGACCTAAATGATTGGGCCACGTACTGGGGTAACATGTTGGGTTCCTGAACAGTAGTAGGCCGATATAATATATCTCAACACAAATAAAAATACATAACTTGCAATTTAGTTTACCATTTTACTTATTATTGAAGGTAGAATGAGAACATTTTTTTGTATTTATAGGTTCTAGTAATCTATTTGATGTTTGTGCCTGAAATAATTATTTGTTGCATTTCTGTTTTCATTGTGTTCTGTTTGTAAGTTTATAAATTTCACATATAAAAATTAAAAAGTACTTAATAGTTTATACTTTTCAAAAATAGTTTAACCAAAGTTAATTTATATTGTTTCACCTATAAAAAGTACTTAATAACTTATGCTTTTTTAAATGGAAAAATTGATAATAATAACCCCAACTATCGGTGGTCCGCACTACATGTTTTTTATCCTTATATATATAAGCATTATTTGTATCTTTTTTATTTTATCATTTTTATGAATATTCATCTCTTTTTGTATTTTTTTAAGAAAAAATGAAGAATTATTAAACAATCTTCTTATTTTCCAACCTCAATACAAAATGTTCCCTATTAATAAAGAAAATAATTCATGATATAAAAAGTATATCAAAATTCATTATTTTTAACAATCTTTCATATGGCATCAATATTCAATATATAAAATTTAAAAAATATATGAAGGTTTATTAATGTTTTCATTGTTTCTCTACTTTTAAAAAAATATATCAAATTTCATAAATGTTAGTATTGTCATTGTAAATTATCTCTCTCATATGTAGTGCTTTTGGGGTATTAGAAGATGAGTTTGCTAACAATTAAACATGAAATCTTTCTCTCTCATAAGTAGTCTTCTAAGTATAAGATAAACTGGTAAACAATTGAGTGAAAGAACTTTCTCTCTTATGTGTAGTGCTTTTAGGTAAGATAAGTCGACTAACAATTAAACGGAAAAATTTTCTTTCTCACATGTAGCGCTTTTAGGTATCAGAAGATAAGCTTGCTAACAATTGAATGGGAGAACTTGATCTCTCATAAACAGTTCTTTTAAGTATAAGACAAGTCGGCTAACAATTGAGCGGAAGAACTTTCCCTTTCATATGTAGTGCTTTTAGGTATAAGAAGATAAGTCGACTAACAATTGAGCGGGGAAATTTTTCTCTCATACGTAGTACTTTTTGGTCTTACAAGTTAAGCTTGCTAATAGTTGTGCGTGAAAGCTTTTTCTCTCACATGTAGTTCTTTTTAATACTCCCTCAGTCCCAAATTGTAAGATACATTTACTATTCACTTGGTCAACATAAATCACTCTTAATCTTTTACTTTATATATCAAAAGTTTATGGAATTTGAATTATTTTTTGCAGGTTTTGTAGCGGTTTTAATGTAATTTCTGAATATGTAAATTTTATTTTCTAAAACTAATTTGAGTGTTTACAAGGATCAATTTGTTTTATCATCGGCCAAACATCGTAAACCGTAAAGTATCTTACAAATTGGGACGGAGGGAGTATAAGATAAGTCGGCTAACAATTGAGCGGAAGAATTTTCTCTCTCATATGTAGTATTTTTAGGTATAAGAAGATAAGCCGACTAACAATTGAGCGGAAGAATTTCTCTCCCATATGTAGTGGTTTTAGGTACAAGAAGATAAACTTGCTAATAATTGAGCGGGAGAAATTTCTCTATCGCATGTAGTGTTTTTAGGTATAAGAAGAAGATAAGTCGACTAACAATTGAGCGGAAGAATTTTCTCTCTCATATGTAGTGTTTTTAGGTAGAAGAAGAAGATAAACCGACTAACAATTGAGCGGAAGAATTTCTCTCCCATATGTAGTGGTTTTAGGTACAAGAAGATAAACTTGTCAATAATTGAGCGGGAGAAATTTCTCTATCACATGTAGTGCTTTTAGGTATTATTAGAAAATAATTTTGCAAACAATTGAGCAGATAATTGAGCGGGATAATTTTCTCTCTTATATGTAGTTCTTTTAGGTAGAATACGATAAGTCGGCTAACAATTGTGTGAAAGATTTTCTGTCTCAAATGTAGTAGTTTTAGATATAAGAAGATCAGCTTGCTAATTATTTAGCTGGACAAATTTCTCTATCATATGTAGTGTTTTAGGTATTAGTATCAGAAGACATATAGTGCTTTTAAGTATAAGATAAGTTGACTAACAATTGAGCGGAATATTTTTCTCACTCATATGTAGTGCTTTTAGATATAATAATAAAAAGAAGATAAGCTTGCAAATAATCCGAACTAATAATATTTTTCTCACTCATATGAAGTGCTTTTAGGAATATTTTTCTCACTCATATGCAGTGCTTTAGGTATAATATAAGCTGACTAATAATTGAGCGGAAGAATTTTCTCTCTCATATATAGTGCTTTTAGGTATAAGAAGATAAACGGACTAATAATTGAGCATGAAAATTTTATATCTCATACGTAGTGGTTTAGGTATATAAGATAAGCGGACTATTAATTGAGCAGGAGAATTTTCTCTCTCATATTATTTTCATTTAAAATAATATAAGTACTACTATTACTTTTTCATCTCCAACTATAAAGCTTTTACTTTTTATTTGAAATGCAAGTCAAACTTTAGTCAAGATTTATTTATGATAAATAATGTCTATGCAATGAACGAAGGGAAAATGGAAATTAATAATCTAACCTTTTAGCGGTCTTCATTCGTTGGTCCCACTTTATCGTTATTCATGAATAATCCAACCTTTGCACCTCATCTTCATTCGTTGGTCCCTGATCGGTTGATGACCTGCTATTCCAGGTTTTTTCATTTTCTTTACAAATCATTCAACCATAAATCTCACCTTTCACAAATCTTCTCCAAACGGTCCCACGTATCATTTTTCTTTCTTTTCCTAAAACTTTTCCCTTTTTATTTTTATCGTCTTGACTCTTTTATTCTCCTTTTTTGTCTTCTTAATATTTTTTTACTACTTTTTAAATTATGTTATTTTTTCAATGTTTATGTATTTCATTTTCCTTTTTTCCTTCTTCCGGTTTATTATTTGATTTTCATTTTTATATATTTTTTCGGATTAGTTTCCTTATAAAAGATTTTTTTCTCAACGTACTAACTTTTACTTTATTTTCTTTTTACTTACACTTATTTATTTCCTTTTTCCCTTTCTTACCTTTATTCTACCACTAATATATTTTTGAGAAAAAGCCCGAAAATAGGACTAAACTAATTCCTAAATGCACAAATAGGACTATGTTATTTATCTTCTCAAAATAGAAATAAAATATCGTATATCTTCTTATTTTACATTTCTACCCTTAACATAACATAATAGAATAATCACATTTTACATTATAATAAAAAAGAAAAATAACAAAAGGTATTCCAATTTAAAAAAATATAGTAACAAAATAAAAAGAAAGGTATGGTAAGGGTAGAAATGTAAAATAAGAAGATAGACGATATTTTATTATAATGTAAAATATGATTATCCTATTAAGTTATGGTAAGGGTAGAAATGTAGAATAAGAAGATAGACGGTACTTTAGTAAAGATAAATAACATAGTCCTATTTGTGCATTTGGGGATTAATTTAGTCTTATTTTGAGGTTATTTTCTCAAATATATATTAGTGGTAGAATAAAGGTAAGAAAAGGAAAAAGGAAATAAATAAGTGTAAGTAAAAAAAAATAAAGTAAAAAGTTAGTACGGTTAGAAAAAGATCATTTATAAGGAAACTAATCCGAAAAATATATAAAAATGAAAATGAAATAATAAACGGGAAGAAAAAAAGGAAAATGGAATACATAAACATTGAAAAAAATAAAATAATTTGAAAAGTAGTAAAAATAATAATAAGAAGACAAAAAAGGAGAATAAAAGAGTCAAGACGATAAAAATAAAAAGGGAAAAGTTTTAGAAAGAGAAAGAAAAATAATATGTGGGACCGTTTGGAGAAGATTTGTGAAATGTGGGATTTATGGTTGAATGATTTGTAAAGAAAATGAAAAAACCTGAAATAGCAGGCCATCAACCGGTCAGGGACAAACGAATGAAGATGAGGTGCAAAGGTTGAATTATTCATGAATAACGATAAAGTGGGATCAACAAATGAAGACTGGTAAAAGGTTGGATTATTAATTTCCATTTTCCCATGAACGCATTGAAGCGCCATAATAGATTACCTGTGCAATCAACCATGCAGCATAAAATAGACAACTGAGGATAAGAAATAAAGTGCCACGTCCCCAATGCTCTTTCCCTCCCGAAGAAGCAAGTTGATCATTGTCACTAGAATTGGAGTGGTAAATCGTTTTGCCTTTGTATACGATAAGGGTTACAGCTCCAGCGAGGCAAAGAATAGCTCCTAACGCTTTTATTTTTCCATCTTTATTCTTCAATTTCAGCTTCTCTTGGCTTCAATGTTGAACATAAACTGTGTCATTTCTTGCATAGTTTCTAAATCTTGTAAATGGATATCACAACAAAGAGTATACTCCCCCTCCGTCCCAATTTCATATGCAAAAATTCCTATTATAGTGATTCACTGGGATCTTAATTTGATTAGTGCTTAATATAGGTCACACAACAAGTGATGATACCTTCAAATTGAATTGTTAGAAGGAATTAAATATTAATTGGATTAAATAATATTTAATTTGTATTACTGAAAATGGATTAAATATTAGTTGGTATTTATAGAATTAATTAGGTATGATAAATTAGATCTATTATACTTAATTAAGATGTATTTATTATTAAATAAAGTTGGAAAGAAGGCTAGTTGGTGATCAAAAAAATTAAATAAAGTTGGTATTTTCTTTTGTAATTAGGAATTAAAAAGAAAATGCAAAATTAAATAATAATAATAATAATAATAATAATAATAATAATAATATTAGTATTTTCTTATTTTAGAGATGTAGGAAATAGAAATTCTGGTGATTCTTGGAAGATCATTCTTGGCCACGACAGCCGCCCTTATTGATGTGAAGAATGGTGTTATGAAATTTCATGTTGGAGAGGAAGAACAAGAATTCATGTTTTTGGGATTCCTTGAAGAAGCATCATGACGATTCTACATGTTTTAGTATCAATATTTTTTATACTTTGACACCAGAAGTTTTTGAAAGGGAGATACATGAAGATCCTCTTGAGGCATGCATCATGCTAGGATGCATCGAAGATGATGAAATTCCTGCACTTTTCGAGAAAGTGATGTACCTTCAAGCCGGAGGTTCCTACACCAAATTTCGGCCTAAATTTGAAGAGCTTGGTGCAAGGAAGTCTAGCCAACAATCTTCATGTGAAGTTTCTCCAAATCATATTCTCAAAACTCTCCTGGCTCATCTCAAGTATGACATTACTTGGAGATGATTCTACTTATCCGGTGGTAATTTCTTCCACACTCACCTCTTTGCAAGAAGAAAAATTATTGAGAATTCTAGCGGCTCACAAGTCCTTTATTGCTTGGTCCTTGGCGGATATTAAGGGTATTAGCTCTTCTCTTTGCATGCACCGGATCCTCATGGAGGAAAATCACAAACCTACCATTGAACATGAACATCAAAGAAGATTGAATCCCAACATGAAGGAGGTAGTCAAAGATGAGGTTCTCAAACTTCTTGATTATGGTATTATTTATCCTATTTTGGATAACAACTTTGTGAGTCCCGTACAAGTGGATCCTAAGAAAGGAGGGGTTACCGTGGTGGCTAATAGTAAGAATGAATTAATTCCTACTAGAATGGTCACAAGATGGAGGATGTGCATTGATTACCGGAAATTGAACACCAACACTAGGAAGGACCATTTTCCTCTTCCATTCATGGATGAAATGCTTGAATGTGTTGCGGGTCATGAATTTTATTGCTTCTTGGATGGATTTTCCGACTATTTTCAAATAGCTATCTCACCTGAGGACCAAGACAAGACAAACTTTACTTGTCCTTTTGGCACCTTTGCTTATAGAAGAATGTCATTAGGTCTTTGGAATGCCTCGTAGACCTTTCAAAGATGTGTTATGGTCATTTTTTCCGACATGGTAGGGGACTTCATGGAAGTCTTTATGGATGACTTTTCTGTTTTTGGAGACTCTTTTGATGTTTGCATTCTTCATCTTGAGAAGGTTTTGATAAGGTGCAAGGAAACACATTTGGCTCTCAATTGGGGAAAATGTCATCTTATGGTGACCGAAGGAATAGTCTTGGGGCACAAAATTTCCCCTCAAGGCATTCAAGTTGATCAAGTCAAAGTGGAAGTTATTGAGAAGTTGCATCCACCTTACTCGGTGAAGGCCATCCGAGGTTTCTTGGAACATGTCGGTTTCTACCAGCGATTCATCAAGGATTTTTCAAAAATTGCAAAACCACCTAGTGATTTACTTTCCAAAGATGCTCATTTTGATCTCACTCCACAATGTCTACAAGCCTTCAACACTCTCAAGAAGGCTCTTACTACGGCTCCAATCATTATCTCACTGGATTGGTCTATATCCTTTGAACTAATGTGTGATGCTAGAGATCATGCAATTGGGGTTGTCCTTGGACAAATGAAGGAGAAGAAGCTTCATGCCATCTATTATACTTCTCGACTACTCTCCATGATGCGGAGTTAAAATATGCCACTGCCGAGAAAGAATTCTTGGCCATTATTTATGCCTTTGATAAATTTCGGTCATACCTCATTGGACAAAAGGTAATCGTCTACAACGATCACTCCGCCATCCAGTATCTTATGAGAAAGAATGATGCAAAAGCAAGATTAATTCGTTGGGTGTTGTTACTCCAAGAATGTGATCTTGAAAAAAAAGATAAGAAGGGGAGTAAACATCTTGTTGCAGACCATCTCTCCCGTCTTGAAGCTAATGCCACAACCATGAAAGAAGTCATTCATGATGATTTCTATTATGAACAAAGCATGGCGATTAGTGTGTCATTGCCTTGGTTCACGCATTTCGTGAATTATCTTGCCAAAGAAATTATCCCTCAAGAGTTCACTTTCCACCAAAGGAAGAAATTCTTGAATGATGTCAAGCACTATTATGGGAACGAACCTTATCTTTTCAAGCATTATGCCGATGGCATCATACGGAAGTGTGTTCCAAATGAAGAAATGCTACATATCCTTGAGCTTTGTCATAATCTCCCTTGTGGAGGTCATCATGGTCTCGACTGGACAGCCGCCAAGGTACTTCAATGTGGATCACAAAGAACAATTAAGGCAAGGCAACAAGAATAAGCAATAACACATAAGAAGCACATTAGTGGCAAAAAAGAGTTTAAAAATACTAGAAAAGATATTCCAAGTTTAAACATTTAATACACTTCCCTTTTGGCTCAAACCTACTCATCACTCTCATTTCCATCTCCTCGGGGAGGGAAATAAAAGTTTGTGTCATAAGGTGGCGGTGGTTGTAGGTTGAAGTGTCGCCCCAACTCTTGGCAATAATGGCTCATGCTCCAAAGATGGCCTCTCATTCATTGAATAGCACGTCATTGATCTCACAAGTCCCGTCTATGCACCGCAAGCTCCGTGTGGATTTGACCGAATTGCACGGTCAAATACTCCATATCGTATGGTCCTTCGTGTCGGGGTGCATGAGCTTCTTCTTCTTGGTGCTCCTCTCTTTGACCTTGGGGTTCTCCTCGTTGGGCTTCTTCGCCTCCTATCATGTCCTCCTGATTCACTTCCAGTACTACCCGATGAAAGCCATCCGCACATCACCAAGGTGCTCCAGGTGTCGGTTGGAAGTAACGGAGATGCCTCATGATACCATCATCAAGCACGGAATATGTCTTCCGTTCCTCCTCTCCTGTAATACTAACATTAAAATGTCGAAAAATGTTAGAGAATAAGATAGAGAAAACAAAGGTCTTATCTTGATTGTTACTCAAGACGATGTTCCAAAGTTGTTTGATTATTAGGCCCCAGAGAGGGATCCCTTCCATTTGCCCAAGCCCGGTGTGCATCTTGTATGCGAAGTGGAGGTCGGCGCTCCTAATCTTGTTGTGCCCGCTTGCTCTTGACATCACATTGAAGGAGTAGAGGTATCATAAGAGACGCACGCGAATGTGTGGTTGACTGAAGTTTCAGGCGGCTAGATCTCCTCCAAGGCCAAAAGTATTGGACCACTGTGGTTGGATGATAGAACGAATCACTTCCAATTGCTCCGGCTTTAGAGAGAGCGAAAGGGCGGCCAATTCTAGTGATGTTGAAATGAGTGAAGAGGAGCTCATTTGTTATTTCAATGTGCACCCGTTTAACGTGGCGCTCAATGCTCTTCTTCGCACGCCTATCTACTTCGACGTTGGCATAGAACTCTTTGACGAGTTTCGGATAGTAAGGTCAAGTCTAGTGATGTTGAAATGAGTGAAGAAGAGCTCATTTGTTATTTCAATGTGCACCCCTTTAACGCGGCGCTCAATGCTCTTCTTCGCACCCCCATCTACTTCGACGTTGGCATAGAACTCTTTGACGAGTTTCAGATAGTGGGGCCCGTGAAGGTGGAGTATGGGTTCCCAACGATATTCTAGCAAAATTCTCAGTCAACCGTAAATTCTCGATCAATGGCTTGTGAGACCGTCTTTTCAATGACAAAGTCATTGTCCCCGAAACTCCAAGTATCTCTCATAGTTCTTCGTGCTCACAAATCGGTTCGGCGGCAAGATGGTGGTGGAGGGAGCGAGATAATATGATCACAACCTCAATCATGAACAAGTAATCACAAGATTTTAATTGAAAATCCCCAAATTTGAACAAGGATTTTGAACCTTAACCCCCAATTTCAACCAAATAGCAAAAATTTCAAAATTTTTAAAAATAACTACTTGGAAAGGGTATACAAAGGTCAAAACAAGCATAATAGACAACAAGAATAGGATATCAATCAACAAATTCAGCCTAAAAGCTGTCAATTTTCAAAAATCCTAAATTTTGAAATTTGCAAGAACCAAATGTAACGATTAAAAGAGAGAAAAGCTATGAAATAAGGATTAAAGAGTGAAGAGGTGTAGTCGTGTAGATAATACATGTTTTGAGCTTGAGGTTGAGCAAGAGAAGAGAGATGAAGGGTTCTAGGTTGAAGGGGGCTCGCTGTTTGATACTCGTCGGACGACGTTTGCTATGTGTGCGTGTGTTTGTGTTTTAAAGAAAGAGGTTTTAAAATCGGAGTGGCCCGTAAATCGGGCGACTTTTGCTTGACAGAAGGATCCCAACGTCCGTAAACCGGGCGGCGTACGCAAACGCCGAGCGGGTTTCGAAATGATTAAATTCAAAAATCCAACGGCGCCCGAAGCCGGGCCCTACTATCCGGAACTGGTCAAAGAGTTCTATGCCAAAGTCGAAGTAGATATGGGTGCGCAGAGCATTGAGAGCCACATTAAAGGGGTGCACATTGAAATAACAAATGAGCTCCTCTTCACTCATTTCAACATCACTAAACTTGGCCGCCCCTTCGCTCTCTCTCAAGGCGGGGCAATTGGAAGTGATACGTTCTATCATCCAACCACAGCGGCCCAATACTTTGGCCATGGAGGAGATCTAGCCGCTCAAAACTTCGATCAACCACACATTCGCGTGCATCTCCTATGATACCTCTACTCTTTCAATGTGATGTCAAGAGCAAGCGGCCATAACAAGATTAGGAGCGTCGACCTCTACTTTGCATACAAGATGTACACCGGGCTTGGGCAAACGGAAGGGGTCCCTCTCTCAGGCATAATAATCAAGCAACTTTGGAACATCATCTTGAGTAACAATCAAGATAAGACCTTTGTTTTCCCTATCTTACTCTCTAACATTTTTCCACATTTTAATGTTAGTATTACAGGAGAGGGGGAACAGGAGACATATTCCGTGTTTGATGATGGTATCATGAGGCATCTCCGTTACTTCCCACCGACAGCCGGAGCACCTTGGAGAATTGCGGACGGCTTTCATCGGGTAGTACCAGAAGTGAATGAGGAGGACATGATAGCAGGTGAAGAAGCCCAACAAGGAGAACCCCAAGGTCAAGGAGAGGAGCACCAAGAAGAAGAACCTTATACACCCCCGCACGGAGGACCATACGATATGGAGTATTTGATCGCGCAATTCGGTCAAATCCACACGGAGCTTGTGGTGCATAGACGGGACTTGCGAGATCAATGGCATGTTACTCAAGGAATGGGAGACCATCTTTGAAGCATGAACTATTATTGCCAAGAGTTGGGGCGGCACTTCAACCTACCGCCACCACCACCTTATGATCCAAACTTTTATTTCCCTCCCCGAGGAGATGGAAATGAGGGTGATGAGTATGTTTGAGCCAAAAGGGAAGTGTATTAAATGTTTAAACTTGGAATATTTTTTCTAGTATTTTTAAACTCCTTTTTGCCACTAATGTGCCCATTATGTGTTATTGCTTATTCCTGTTGCCTTGCCTTAATCGTTCTTTGTGATCCACATTGAGACAATGTGAAATAAGTGTGGGGGTGCTCTTTAGACTTTTAAATTTGAAGGAATTTTCCTTTAAAAATTAATCATTTTTTGTCCATTAAAAAAAACGTTTTAGCAAAACCTTTTGTCCTTCAAAACCTTTTTCAAAAGAATACATCTTTCAAAAGGATTCGTCTTAATATATTAACAAAGGGTTTTAAAATTTTGCTTGAGGTAGAACAAAAGCTCAATTGTGGAGGTATTTGATAAGTGTTTTATTAACGTGTTTTATACAATTATTTATAAACACTTTTATGCTTAAAAGAATAAAACTCTCACACATATGCCTCGTTTTGCTAGAAATACTTTAAACGATGATTGGCCCAAATACGAGGATGATAGAATACACACGAAGAAACCCGACAAGAAAAGGTCAACCAAACGCATCCCGAAGAACAAAAGAAGTGAAGAAAAACGCACAAAAGAGGTGAAAGACGCCTGGCTTTCACTAATGCCGTCCGGTTTTCACCAGCCAGCCACTCATTTGTCGTTCAACGAAGGGAAAAGCGTCTGGATCCAAAAATGACGAAAGCCGCCCGGCTTTTGTGAACGCCGCCTGGCTTTGGGCGCCGCAGAGTAATTCCGGAAAAAGATTTACGAAAGCCGCTCGACTTTTGTCAAACATCACCCGGCTTTTGGCCCCTGAAGCAAACGATCAATTATTTTAAACGGTTAAAGCCGCCCGACTTTCATAAATGCCGCCCGGCTTTTGCCTGTGCGAGATTATTACAGCAACGGTCATCACAATCATTCGGGAAAAACATTAAATCTCATTAAGGAGCTTGCTTCCTTGTCCAAATATGGCCGTTCGAGACTCCATATTTAAGTGGTTTGAAGCCTCCTCAACACAGCATTCCATATTTAAATTTCTAGGTGGAAATTTAATCTTCTGACGATCCAAAAAATAACTCACTGTGTCCAAATCTTCCACTGAAGCTGAATATCGTGTCGTAGCCTACACAGCTCAGGATACCCTGTTTATTCGCTCTCTGATGTATGACATGGCATAGTAACGTCGAAACATGTGCAGTTATTTTGTGACAATGTTTCCGCATCTTATCTTGAAGTGAATCCTATTCAGCATGATCGCAACAAACACATCAAGATAGACTATCATATTGTTCGTGAATGTGTAGCTCATGGAGACTTGACAGTCAAATATGTTCCAGCTCAGTACCAGCTTGCAGATATATTTACCAAAAATTTAACTAGTCAACGTTTTGAATTTTTACGTTCCAATCTGCACTTGATTTCGCTCGCACAAATTGAGGGGGCGGGTGTACGTATTAGTATTCTTACTATTATTAAGGACCACTGTGTAATTATCTCTTTTATTTATTAGTATAAATACAATGTTAGGGCTACCACATAGGTAAACCATTATTCTCCACTTTCATTATTTCACAATTTCGATGTACGTTATATCAATTTTTATCGGTATATAATATTACACACACATATACGCCAAATAATACGTACCCGGAAATTGTTGACAAGAAAAAGGTAACTATTGGAATGATGGTTACAAAGTTGGCAGCATACGTCGCTGTTGTATCTCGAAGACCATAATAAAACAATCCCAAAGCCACACTTATCCTGCAAATTAAAGCTAGTTAGTAACCACATCACAATTTTTGAGTTTGGAAGTTTATATTTATTTTTTCTTATGGGGGAAAATATTTATGTATGATTAAAATTCATGACAATTCTAAAAATATAACCACACGATAATTTTTCAGAATATGACTGAACACATATGGAACTAAGTAAGATTACGATAACGTCGGATGATATCCATACATGCCTATGCCATCATCATATTGGCATATTTTTTTATTACGAACACATATGTAATTATCATCATCAAAATACATCCCCGGTCTCTTAACGATTTGGCATCTTTGAATTTTTTGATCAATCAAGTTAAACTTTGACTAATGATATTCTATAATTATTTATAGAAAATGTTCTTTGTTTAAAATACTTCTTAAAAGTACTTCCTCCCTATTTTATAGTTTGCTACTATAGGGATGGTGATGTGGTGAAATTCAAGTATAGGCAATATAGCAAACATTTAATAACGTACACAATCTTATTATTATACTAAAAGCAGATATGATAGAAGTAAACGTACATCATCTTATTATTATACTAAAAGCAGATATGATAGAAGTAAGGCCATAAGGGTGAAAATTTCTGTGTGGTTCAGTTTTCATCAGTTTCGGTTCGATTTCAGTTTATTCGGTTTGGGACATATTATATCAAATTAAAATCATTTATGTTTCGGTTTGGTTTTGGTTCGGTTTCGTTTCAATTTCAGGTTACCAGTTAAATTGAAAATTATTAGGTTCCGTTTAGTTCGATTTAATTCGATTTCATATGTTTATTATTTTATTTGATCAAGTTCTATATTTTAGAAATAGAAACTGAAAATAGTAGTCCATCTAAATGAAATGTGAAGGAAAATAAAAGATATGACAAAAAATAACAAAATATTACTCCCTTCGTCCCATTTAAATCTTTACACTTTCCTTTTTGGGATGTCTCATTTACTCCTTTATATTTCCTTTTTAGACAACTCCTTTTACATTAAATATCCTAACTACCCTTCACTACACACTCACTTTTTACATTGAGTGGAAGCATTAATTCCGCCCAAAAGTCAAAGGGCATGCAAGACATTTGTTCTTTGTATAAATCGAACTCCTAAAATATCGTGCCAAAAGTAAACGTCAAGTTCTATCCGGGACGGAGGGAGTATAAAGTAAAACCTAATTTAACTTACTAAGACTACAAAAAATTGAAGGATCAAATAGGCTCTCGAACTAACTTAAAAAGTGCAAATCACCCCTTATATAGGAGGCTCGGTCCGGCTGTCAACATTTGGGGCAGTTCCCGGTGGAAATTTTTGATGAAATTTTTTGATCATCTTCTTCATTAAGTCTAGTTTACTCATACCAAATTTCAACTAAAAACTCAATCAGGAAGGCAGTCAAATGAATTTTTGAAGATAACTGCGCAGTTAAACAGCGCAGTACATTTCAGGAAATCATTTGACTGTCTTTCCAGTTGAATTTTTATCTGAAATTTAGTATAGGTAAACTAAACTTAATGAAGAAGATAAGATGCTCAAAACATTTCATCAAAAAATTCCACCAGGAAGCGCCCCAAATCGCAACGTTCAGACAGAGCCTCTTTATAAGGGGTGATTCGCACTTTTTAAGTTAGTTCGAGGGCCTATTTGACCCTTCCAAAAATATTCAACCACTAGTAAAATGATTTCTCTCTCACAAAAGGTAGGTTTAATTTAGGAGTATTTGATTAACATTTATAATATCACATCAAAATTCAAACAAAACTAAAGAGTCGGCGGTAACAATATAATGTATTTAAATTCATAATTTTTTTCATATGAATTATGTAAAATGTATATTGTGCTATAGTTTAATTGAAATTGATATAAATCTAATGTGCTATTGTCATTGTCAAACAACTTGACACACAGGTAGAGTACAAAATGAAATTAATACAAATATGTCTTATTAGCTAACTTTGTCATAATGTGTGTATGAAATGTGTAAAAGTTAAAATGATATATATCGAAACATGTATTTTTATATCTAACTTATTTATTTACGGAGTATATCCTAAAGTTGAAGAGTGAAGATAAATACAAAGTATTTTTATAAGTATTACAAGTTCGGTTCGATTTACGATTTTTTGGTTTCAAACCAAACACAACCAAATTATTCGATTTGAGCAAATTATTACCAAACTGGTTTACTTAAGTAGTGAACCAAACCAAATCAAAGTACCAAATTTTGGTTTGGTTCGATTCAATTCGATTGAACCAAACAGTCTTGTCTAGTCTTAAACACAAGTGTACCTACCAATATAATGAATAAATTTTCATGACTTATAATGTGTGAAACAATCCATCACTATTGAGAATATATATCTAAGGCTAAAGGGTCAAATATGCACTCGAACTAACTTTAAAAGTGAAAATCACCCCTTATATAAGAGGCTATGCCCGGCTTTCGTAATTTGGGGTGGTTCCCGGTGGAATTCTTTGATGAAATTTTTCGACCATCTTCTTCATTAAGTCTAGTTTACCCATACCACATTTCAGATAAAAAATCAACCGGGAAGACAGTCAAATGATTTTCTGAAATGTACTGCGTTGTTTAACTACGCAGTTATCTTCTAAAATTCATTTGACTGCCTTGCAAATTGAATTTTTAGTTGAAATTTGGTATGAGTAAACTAAACTTAATGAAGAAGATTCTCAAAAAGTTTCATCAAATGGTGACGGCCGAACAGAGCCTCCTAAATAAGGGATGATTTACACTTTTTAAGTTATTTTGAGGGCCTATTTCACCCTTTAACCTATATCTAATTTAGTTCTAGACTATTAAATTGATTAGTGTTGGTCTTCAATTTTAACTTATTTATCAAGTTAGGCTCTCTATTACTACGTAATCTTTTTCATATTTTCTCCAAGTCAACTAATCTATAATTCCACTGAAGACCAAATCCATTACTCATATCACTCTCCTAATTAAATTTATCACACATGCCTAGCTTGAAATAATCTATTAATGGTGAAGATTGGAATTAAATTAGGTGAAAAGGCGTGATTTTCATCTTCTCCTACTTTGACGACTTGACAGAGAAAGTATAGATGAAATTAAAGGATGGCTAAATTTGATAAAAATGAGATTCAAAACTAATCATGTTAATAATTTGGAATTTATGAAATTCTAGCTAATGTGGCTGAATTGGCTGATTCTACTGATTCATGATAAATTTTATCTAAAATATATTTTCGTAATGAAATAAAGAAAAAATTATATGTAAAAATAGCTAAAATATAATTGTTCTTCACGGTAACTTCAGCCGATACAGCCACAAAAATAACTTCAATCTTACTTTTTCTTATTATTATACAATTCAGCACGTGAAATCAAAAGCTACGCGTTTGGTGAAAAGATTAAGTGATAAGCGTTGGTGACTCAAAAGTCTTCATCTATTTCTGGAATTAGCTCGGCCTTATAACGTATGGTGACAATCTTGTAAAAAAAGAGGCGAAGATGCACAGTTAGGTAGTTAGGTTTAAATTTGCCATCAAGCAGAAAATATGTCTAAAGGGTCAAATAGGCCCTCGAACTTACTTAAAAAGTGCAAATCACCCCTTATATAGGAGTCTCTGTTCGGCCGTCGTCATTTAGGGCGTTTCACGGTGGAATTTTTTGTTGAAATTTTTTGAACATCTTCTTTATTAAGTCTAGTTTACCCATACCAAATTTCGGAAAAAATTTCAATCAGGAGGACATTCAAATGATTTTCTGAAATGTACTGCGTTTTTTAACTGCACAGTTATCTTCAAACATTAATTTGACTACCTTACCAATTGAATTTTTAGCTGAAATTTGGTTTGGGTAAACTAGCCTTAATGAAGAAGATGCTCAAAAAAAATCATAAATAATTCCACTGGGAACCGCCCCAAATGGCTACGACCGGACAGAGTCTCATATATAAAGGGTGATTTGCACTTTTTAAGTTAGTTCGAGGACCTATTTGACCCTTTAGCCTCGAAAATATTGGGCATCCCACGCTCCTATTGGTTAACTAGGGTGGTTAGTAATGTATTCAGTATTATTAAAATCTAGTTTTGAATTAATAAGAAAGAATTCCCTAAATAGGAGAAAAAAAGTTTTGAAATTTCAAAATAGAACTATCATATTTTTTATTCCTTGAATAGGAATAAAAAACATGATACTCCTATTTTGGAATTTCAAAACGTTTTTGCTCCTATTTAGAGCAATATCTAAATTAATAACTAAATTTTACTTATTTAGAAAACTAAAGCACTGAAGCTCCAAAGTTTAAATATAATACGATCATTAAGAAAAGTGAGTTTATGTAGTTCATATTCAATTCATAAAGTAAGAATAAAATAAAAATGATTTACAATCACACAAATTTTATTAAATTTGATATCAAACAATCTTAACAGAATTAACCGGAAAAAAAAAAAGATGAGACAATCTTAACGATATTGTCGAACTAATAAAAAAATGAATGATTTTCGTCAAATAAAAACAGAATAACAAATCTTTAGTATACGTTAAGGTACATACCCCAATAATGCGATAAAGAAGAGCCATAATACAAAGGAACCCCGTTGTTTCCAACTCAGTGTCTTCAGGCGCTCCCTGCCAGTAGAGTAATATATACGGAGTATAGCGTAATATTAAAATATAAATATACAAAATAAAGAATTCGGATATTAAAAATAATCTAATTAATTTCATGGCATATTGCTTCATATATATAGGGGGCGGTTCCGGTAAGAACAGATTCCCAGGAGAAAAATGAGAATGAATCTAGAGTGTTGGATTGTATTATGTGGAACTGAGATATGCATTTGGTGAAACTAAAATGTGCATTGGATAGATATTGAAATGTGCAGAACAAAAAATTAAATTCAGGTGTGCATTAGGTAAAACTGAAATGTGTGAAATAAAAGGTACAATCGCATCGTACCTTTTATATATTTTACACATTTCAGTTTCACCTAGCGCACACTTCAATTCAGCTTCACATAATGTCACTGTATCATACCCTTTGTGCTGCACATCTCAATTTCACCTAATGCACATTAAAGTTTCATCTAATGCACATTGAATTTCACTTAAAACAAATCCAACGGTCCAGATTCATTCTCATTTCTCTCTTAAGATCATATTCTTATTTGAATCAAAACCTACATATATATATATAGGGAGCGGTTCCAGTAAGAACGAATCTGGACCGTTGGATTGTATTATGTGGAACGGAAATGTGCATTTGATGAAACTGAAATATGTATTAGATGATATTGAAATGTGCAGAATAAAAATTTAAACTCAATTGTGCATTAGGTGAAACTGAAATGTGCGGAATAAAATGTACAAAAATAACATCACATCGTACCTTTTATCCTATATATTTCAATTTCACCTAATGCATAATTCACCTTCACATAATGACATTGTATCGTACGCTTTATCTTGCACATTTCAATTTCACCTAATGCACATTACAATTTCATCTAATGGACATTGAATTTCACTTAAAGCAAATTTAATGGTCCAGATTCGTTCTCATTTCTCTCCTAAGATCATGTTCTTATTTGAACCAAAACTTATATATATATATATATATATATATATATATATATATATATATATATATATATTTCAAAACCTACATATATATATATATATATATATATTTCAAAATAATATATATTTATATAATATATATATATATTTCAAAATAATGCTTAATAAAAATTTATTTATCAAATTAGAGTTGAAATAAAAATATTTTTCATATCAGTACTAGAAGGAACTATTGTTAATAAAAGCCGCCAACTGAATTGGCGGCGACTTATTCTTATAATCTGAAGTGACAAAGGAAGCTAGCAAACGGAAGCTAGCAACCTCGGGCCCCAACTTTAAAAATTCTCTTTGGCTTTTAAATTTGCTACTGTATAATCTTTGTATTTATAATCCTATTTTTAGAGAAGGTATGCAGAGTATCAAATTTCATACTCCCTCCGTCCCTGAATTATCTTCAAACTTTCCTTTTTCGTCCGTCCCAAAATTATCTCATCCTTCCCTTTTTGGCAAAGAATTTGTGGTTCACAATCATTCTTACACATTTCTCTCTCCTCTGCACAACTCTCCACCACACAAAACCCACTATTTTTTACACCCTCCTTATTTTAAAGTTGGTTACACTTTGTTTTTTAATATTTTTTTAAAAGTTCGCTACACTTCACTTTTGGGTGACTTTTCCCTTTAAAAAATATGGAGAAGGATAGAAAATCACACTAAGATTATTTAACAAGTTTTGATTAGACGTTAAACTTTTGAGTAGGAACAAATTAACACATAATCAACTTATTTCGATTATATTTGGTCACCCACTTATAACTCCATTAAACCCACTAACCGTCCACACCTATGTTGTCAATTCTTCACCAGCTTGGTGAACTCCATCCTCATACTCCCCCTTCTCTATTTCACTTCCCCATCGCCAAACGAACCCTCTCTTCTGCGCATATGGCATATGGCATGTCTCCAATTTACATCTCGACTCTATACCAGAAAAAGGATGAACTTCCCAATCTAGGCCAACCAAGTGGAATGAATTAATTCACAAACGAAATTTGGGCAGTCAATTGCTCCTTTGCTATTGTTTCCATTGCTCTATCCAATTGTGAGTGCAAGTTGTGGGTCTTATAGAGTTGTAGGTCTGCCCCGACCAGAGTTAAAACTGGGTTTTGGACGATGACGAAGAGGTATGTGTATGGGATATGGGGTCTGAATGGACTGGTGAAGTCTAGTGCTCTACCAGAGAAGAAATGGGAGTGGACACTAATTTAGGTTTTGGGCGAAGATGGATGGTAATTTGATATTTGATAATTGACGTGATCAGACGTTAATTTAAGTGTGACGTAATGAGTGTCCTAATAGGACATAAAACCATATAATTTGTGTTAATTTGGTCTACTTAGAAGCTTAGGGGTGTCCCCAATTCGGATTGTAAAGGATTTTGGAATTCCATAAGAATTTAGACATCCTTTGAAATCCTACCACCCCCAACCATTCGATGGAATTCCATTAACTTTGATTCGGCCTGATTTCAATGGATTTCAAATAACAAAAAACTCTTAAACCATTCCACGCATAGTTTCACCTTCACCCCTCGGATTTGAAAACGCCTCACGATTTCTCCGCTTAGGGACTTCGCCGGCCTTCTCTCCCGACGTCTGACTTTCACTTAGCTCCTGCGACTTCTTTCTTCTCGGCCTCTCAAATTCCTCTTTGTGATAGGTTCCTTTGTTGATTTCTCCTCTTCACGTGTTCTTTGGATTTTTTGCCAGACTTCCACTTTTTTGGCTTCAGCAATTCATCTTCATGGTCTTGTGCGCGGTCTTTGTAAAAGTTAACCAAATCCAAAAAAATCTATATAATTTTATGAAATTGAATTCCATAGCATTCCAATAAATCCATTCAAAACACCATCAGCTACGGTGTCACTAAAACAGAGAGGCTTAAACATTGACCTTGAAATCTTGATGAAGACAATCCAAATCATGACTGATTTGCATACGAAAGGAAAAGAAAAAGATGACCACGAGGAAGAAGAAAACTGTCTCGAGTAGAGAAAAAATGTCTTACTATTCTTGATGAAGAAGAAATTGTTGAGATCTGCACCGTTGTAGCCATGGAAGAACCCCCCCCCCCCCCCCCCCCCCCCGGCGCTGGACAGAAATTGCTACTGCCACCGCTGAAATCGAAGCACCCCTCCAGCGCTAGACAGAAATTGCCGCCATTAAATAGATCCGCCTCCACTGCCTTCGAAGAGACCTGCGCCATCGTAGCCATGGAAGATACCAATTTGCTAATTTGCTAAGCTGAGCAGATGTTGTGCTAGATGGGAGATATTTGTGGGAGTAGATGATTGGGATTAGGAAGACAGATGAGTTATACTACGGGATTCACGGCTTGGTACGTCTAGGTAATCACTTAATTGAGATATACTCGCAAATGACCTTGGTGTCATTTGTGAGCTTTCTCCCAAAAAATAGTCACTTAATCTTACTTTGTCAATTTTTACATTGTCTATAGTACTTGTACACAATTTATCTATGTTTTTTGCACTTCCCTCCTTAAATAATGTGTCGAAGTCATAGGTAGCAATTTTTAAAGGGAAAATGGTCAGATATGCCCTTGTGCTTACATAAAAAGGTCAAATAATCCCTTATATATGAGGTTTTGTCCGGCTGTCATCATTTGGGACGTTTCCCGGTGGAATTTTTTTATGAAACTTTTTGAGCGTCTTATTCATTAAGTCTAGTTTACTCATACCAAATTTCAGCTAAAACTTCAATCGGGAAGACATTCAAATGAATTCTTGAAGATAAATGCACAATTAAAGAACGCGGTTATCTTCAAAAATTCATTTGAATGCCTTTCTGGTTGAAGTTTTAGCTGAAATTTAGTATGAGTACACTAGACTTAATGAATAAAATGCTCAAAAATTTCATCATAAAATTCCATCGGGAACCGCTCCAAATGGAGACGACTGGACAGAGCCTCATATATAAGGGGTTATTTGACCTTTTTATGTAAGTACAAGGGCCTATCTGACCCTTTTCCCATTTTTAAAATACGGGAGTATTATCTTTCGTATGATATCAATGTTGCATATATAAAAAACCTATATGCAGGGTTGGTAGAAGTCCTTAGGTTCAAAATTTGTCTTAAGTAGCTAGATCCAATTCTAAAATTAAGATCTCATTATTGTGTAGTAGCTTTAGATTACACGATTATACAATGTGAATATTTTCGATAAATTGACATGAAGTTTTCAACTGGATTAGTTTCTTGATCCCACTAGACTAGACTAAATCTATTCACACCATATTAGATCAGACTTTGATATTTGTAAAATACACCTAGAACTAATATGTGGCATCTATCAGTCAATTTCAAGGACCACACTTTCAACCTATTTATAAAAACGCAATCACTATCATTAATTTATAATACATCAAACTCCCCTAATCTTATTCTTCTTTCTCATTCTTCAGGAGTGCTCCAGAATTTCAATTTGGAAATATTCAACTCAATTGTGATTTTCCTCAATATTTTCTTTTTTGGTGCCCAATGATTCAATTAAGATGATTAAAATATAGATAATTATCCTTTCATATATGGTCTCATCTCTAGCCATAAGGAACAAAAGAGATTGCTACAAAATGTTGGGGACAAGTTAGAGTGATGACAACATAGAAGCATACAAGGAGGCTAAAAGCCAATCAAAGAAAGTTATAAGGGAAGCACGAGGGAAAGTGAACAAGGAGTTGTATGAAAAGTTGGACTCTAAGGAAGGAGAACTAGATATATTATAGACTTGCTCGTCTTCGTGATCGCAGGACTCAAGATATTGCAAAAGTTAAGTGTGTGAACGATGTCGATCAGAGGATATTAATGGATGACGGAGAGATAAAAGAGAGGTGGAGGTCATACTTTGATACACTATTCAACGGGAACAAAACCCAAGATATCGGTGATTTGTCCATACCAGATTGTATGGTAAATTGTGATTTTGTGAGAAGGATCCAAACAACGGAAGTTAAAGAAGCTCTGAGCAAGATGGGACGGAAGAAAGCAGTGGGTCCAGATGGCATACCGATCGAGGCTTGGAGAAGTTTGGGAGAGAGAGGCGTCGAGTGGTTAACAAGTTTCTTCAGCATGATTTGGAGAAACAACAAGATGCCATCGAGTTGGAGGAAGAGTACTCTTATCCCCTTATTTAAAAATAAAGGTGATGTACAAGAATGTGTTAACTATCGAGGGATTAGGCTTATGAGTCACACCATGAAACTTTGGGAGCGAGTGATTGAGTAAAGACTTTGAAGAACTATGAAGATTTCAGAGAATCAATTCGGTTTTATGTCTGGTCGCTCAACAACTGAGGTCATTCACCTTCTTCGACAACTTATGGAGAAGTATAGAGACTCTCATAAGGATCTGCATTTGGTGTTCATTGACTTAGAAAAGGCATATGATCATACTTGTCACGGCGGTAAGTCGAGTCGCGGCGCTGGCCAACTGCCATATCGCCTAGGCGATTAGGCGCCCGCCTAGGCGACAATTAGGCGACTAGTCGCGTATATATTTTTATATATATAATTATGTATATAATTATATATATATATATATATATATATATATATAATCATACATATAATTAAACTATGCAAAATATATATCATACGTAGTATATATTAGTATGTACCAGTTTTTATGATTATTTTAACAGTTTATTATTTTATAATTTAGAACATATAATAAAATAGAAGTCTCACAGGTTGGGTATATCATTATATCATATTATATCTTGATTCTGTAATATAGAAGTGTATATATACACATATATTGATAGATAGATGAAAATACACCCTTTATATATATAAATACACAACTTAATGAATTAAAATAATAAAAAAATGAAGCCAAGAAGAAGAGATCGGGGACTGGGAACTAGGGAGTCGCCTGCTACTCTGCTTCCGCGAGCGAGGGACAAGGAGGGTCATACCTGCGACTTTGTCTTCTTCGTGGAGTTGTTCGTCTGCTTCCTACGACTCTACGAGGCTGCGACTTGGCTTGGCTATACGACTTTGGGCAATGAATCGTCGGTAAGGAAGATTACTATGGGCTTGCTTTTAATTAAAGCCTAAATCTATTTTTATTTTCGGTTCTGGGCCTGCGCCATAGCAGTCCGACTTTCCAAAAAGGCGAGGACTTCGACGCCAAAACAGCGCCTAGACGACGCCTAGACGATGCCATTCACGACTACTCTTCATCTGGCGAGGCGAGTGAAGCTGGCGAGCAGTCCCTAGCGCCAGGACACCTAGTCGGCGACTAGGCGACGCCTAGGCGACGCCGTGACAAGCATGCATATGATAGGGTACCTCGAGAAGTTCTTTGGTGGGCCTTAACTAGAAAAGGCATATCACACAAGTATATCAGCATCATCATGGATATGTATGAGGATTGTACTACAAGTGTCCATACTAGTGTAGGGAGGACTGAAGAGTTCCCTATTACTATCGGAGTGCACCAAGGATTGGCTCTGAGCCCTTTCTTATTTTCCATAGTCATGGATGAACTTACGAAGTCAATTCAAGATGATATACCATGGTGCATGATGTTTGCCGACGATATTGTATTGATTGATGAGACGCAATCAGGTCTTAAAGCAAAGTTGGAAGTATGGCGACAAACATTGGAGAATAAGGGTTTCAAACTAAGTCCGAGCAAGACAGAGTACGTGGAGTGCAAGTTTGGTGGAGGTAGAAGCAATGCTAATAACGAAATTACTCTTGATGGTAAGGAGAGACCAGCCAGTGATATGTTCCGCTACTTGAGCTCCATAATTCAAAAGGACATTGAGTTAGATGGAGATGTATCCCATAGAATCAGAACATGGTGGATAAAGTGGAAGAGCGCGTCAGGATTTCTATGCGATCGAGGTATGCCGACTAGACTGAAGGATAATTTTATAGGACAGCAATTAGGCCTACATTATTGTATGGTGTAGAGTGTTGGACGGTGAAACAATGTCACATTCAAAAGATGAGTGTGGCAGAGATGCGCATGCTGCGTTGGATGTGTGGGCATACTAAGAAGGACCACGTGAGGAATGAGACAATCAGACAAAAGGTGAGAGTAGCACCTATTGAAGACAAGCATTATTTGTATATATATAAGCATTATTTGTATCCTTTTTATTTTATCATTTTTATGTATATTCATCTCTTTTTATATTATCTTTTTATAATAACTTATACTACGTATGTTTTATCTTTATTTTCTTTCTTTTCCTTTTGATGGTAATATCATGTATCGATTCATGTTAGCCAACTCCAATATCTTTTGGGACTAAGGCTTGGATGTTGTTGTATATGGTCTCATCCCTATCTAGGATGCAATTAACGATTACAAAGGAAAACATATTATATTTCTAATTAAATAATAGGATGAGGTGGTTAAGGTTTGTTTTCTATCTTTTAAATATCTTGAAATCTCAAATTTATTCACATATTTATATATATTCTTGATGTCGTTTTTTGGGAGTCTTAGGTTAACAACAATCCAGCTCGTCAATAAATCTTATCCCCATCAGTTTATACATATTAATCCAACCAATTTAATTTTTCCCTACAACCTAACATTGTCAATATATTCACTTAGCACATAGTTTTTTTGATAAAATCCTTATTTTTAATAGTATACATTCTTTTGCCACATTCGACCGCCCCTTACCTCACCGTAGGAGGGAGCCTTTGAGGCAGTAGTGTGATGATGATGATGATGATTCCTTTGCCAATTCTGTTTTATGGATAATTATATTTAAAAAGTCAAACATTTCGATGAAAAAATAAATAGATTTAGAGTTTTTTTCTTATGACCTCAGACCTATTTTAAAAAACAAATACAGAAAAATGTAAAACAACTGTTGGATCTTAATTTTAGCTCTCGGATATATTTAAGAAATATGTTATGTATGAAAATCTCTAGTTAGGATAGTTTTACTTAAAAAAGAGTTGTTGTTTTTTATGAAACTAAGAGCCCATTTGATCATACCAAAATTGACTGAATCGGCTGATTCTGCTAAAATTTATGAAATGCTGACTGAATGGCTGAATTAGCTGATTTTGTTGATTTATCAAAAAATTATATTTAAAATATATTTTATTATTTAAATAAAGAAAACATTATATGTAAAAATAGATAAAATGGTCTTCTACAGTAACTTCAGCCAATACAGCCAGAAAAGTAACTCCAACCTTACTTTTTCTTATTATTACACAATTCAGCGCACGAAATCAAAAGTAACATACATATTTAGGAGTACGTTAATAATTGATGGCTGCTAAGAATACATTTTTCTTAGCAGAATATCATACTGTCTGTTTCTTAACATTCATGTAGTACATTCTCCCTGAATTTATCCATTTCATGTAG